GAAGGACACTATTTTTCTCTATGTACATAATAAAATGATTCTTTAGATGTTATTACTTAGAAATATATTATTGCTGATAAACTTACATCGCTTTCATTTGACAATTACATTTTTTGTATTGTTAATCAGAAAGTCTTATTTTTATATATACAGTTTCAAATGAATCAATATTCATTAACAACTTTTTTTGATATTTTGCCAACTACAGTAGTTACTACTAGCAAAGATTTATCAATGACTTCAGACTTCAGAAAATTTTTAGGAATGGACTAAACCCTGAAGAAACTAAAATTTCCAAGTCTTTGGATTGTTTGACTTCCCATTAGATTTCTTTTTTCACCTATTAAGAAGCTCCAGGTGGTCAACACCTCCAGAAACCATAAATTACTCTTCATACCACATTCCTCACTTTGACAAACAGTTTATAATCTGCCATACAAATCACATTTCACCATTGATATAGCTACTTTCAAGGCTCAGCTTTACTAATAACTAACTTTACTCAACCCACCAAATTATTACATTTGCAGTTTTGTAAAACAACACCCAGAGGCCCCAGTAGTTACTCCAAGGAGCTTTGTTCACCAATCCCCCCCCCACTTCATCATATAAGAAAAACAATCACACACTGAGAAAATAAAAGCAATTTTCAAGTACACTCTAAAAAAATCAGTGAGAATGGTGCAAAATAAATTTAAAAGGACTCATAATATGAGTTATACAAACACAAAGCTTTTATATGTATATATGATTTTAATCGGTGCCATCTTGTCAAAATAATCAATTTGTTGACTGTAATCAATTAATAGGCCTGACGATTAATCTATTAGCAAGTTCCACAGATCACCCAAACTCTGGTCAATGTAATATTGGCCTGATATTTGCTGGTATTATATGAAAGACTTTGTCAGCAGTGGAGATAGGCAGAAACAATGTGGTTGAAATATCTTTTAACCTTCTTCTTTACCTTCATTCGCAAGTTATAAAAATTTCACAATGAGGCAGTACAATTCTGTGAATGCATTTCATCCAATAGTGTCAGTAACTTAAAAACATTAATGACAACCTGATTGCTAACAAGAATAAGCAGATTTTGATCCATTATGCCATTCTCTCAGAAAGATAACTCAACCAGTAGAGATTCATCTTCCAACAAGACAATGATAAAGTATATATAAAAAAGGGACATGAAACTATATTTTGTCAGCAAAGAAGCCAACAAAATACTCACAAACATTAGTTTGTCTGCAAAACTATCCTGACATGAACA